GTAATTAATTACTAAATACGTGTTTGCAATGCTTAACTGAGAACACTGGCACGCACTCACTGGAAAAGAGACGAATGCTTGCCTAAACTATTCGCACTTCAAACGGAATATCCCGTCGAGTACTCGCACTGTCTCAAGTGTTCGTGTACGTAGACCAGTAGTTGATTTCCCCACCATCCCCAGTCGCTCTTCATGTGCATTTCTATAATTGTATATATATTTGAACAGCTCTGACCACGCCCAGTTGTCAGTTCGCCTCGCCTGGGAAGTGTTAAATAACAAGTTCAAGTCAAAGTTCCCTGTTCCCCGTTCCCCGAAAGGAAAAACAACTTTTTGCCTTTCAGCCTTATAAATGACTCTCGAGGCTTTTGAGTTATGAAATGAGCTCCTGTGCTCCGGCCCACCCACTAGTTCTCCCACGGCTGGAGCGAAATGATAAATTGTGGCTCGGTGCTCCCCGTGAGACATTCGAAATATGCTGGTAATTATTTTGTTGAATGTCGCTCAGGTTTTAGTGCGAGAATTTATTATCTCCATTCTCTCGCCGGACGCCGCCCATAGACTAGACCATAATAAATTTGTGCGGGTTAGTTGGCATCGCCCAGGATCGCAATTTATAAATGACTTCAACGTACTTGCGGTGAACTAGTTGAGGGTTAAACTAAAATATAGTGTATGCATGCATAAAGCAATTCGAAATGTGGGTGAACTAAAATTAACTTTCGAAGAATGTTATTTAAAATCTTCTATTGTAACACCTTTTAATAGACATTTTAATTTAATGAAATCAATTATTATTCGAATTTTCAAATTGAAACAGTTTTTAAAGTTGTATTTGGGACATTTCAGATTAATTTTGAGGAAAAGTAATGTTTTTCCCCAAAACTTTTTTAAGGGGCACAACTAGTGTGACATTTCAAAAAAATCTTTTTTTTTTTTCTTTCATATTTCGGAAGATTACACCTTTAAAAATAACATATTAAAATTTACAATCGATATCTTAAATAGTTTTTGAGTTACAGCAATTTTAAGAGCAGCCGCTTGTATAGCAGTGAATACAATCATTTTATCTTTAAACGCGTTTTTCTCGAAACTGCATTTTCCGAATTTGCTGCAGTGATAACTCAAAAACTAATGATCCGATCACTATCAAATTTTTTTTAGATGTTTTATATATAGTCCTCCCTACAATGACCTATCGGTTTTTTGATCCGATCAAAAATCGAATTTTGGCAGGCCAAAAACGACCAAAATTTTGGGCAAAATTCGATTTTTTTTTTTTAACGCCGCCATTTTGTCAATTTTTGACATTTTTTATTTATCGTAGGTCATTGTATGGACAATATCATCTAGTTTAACGAGAATTTTTCATTTTTTAATTTCATCCACGGAGAAGGCCTGAATCACTGCAGCAGTTGGGGCACTTTTTTTTTTTAGCGCCGTTGGAGATCGGCTCTAGCTTAGAAAATATTTAATTTTTTTCTTTAAAAATTTTACTGTATATTCCTCAAACCTGTATAAATATATTCTGAAAATTTGAAAAGAATTGATCAAGTAGTTTTTTTTATAAAAATTCCCAAAAATCATCATTTTTTTAGGCCGTCACACTAGTTGTGCCCCTTAAGTTGATGTGACAGTTTTGACATTTTTATTGTTATTTAGCGAGATAGAATACGATGAAAAAGAAAAGGAAGACTTTTTGGGAACCTGTCAAAACGCAATAACAATTAAAATATAGTGGTTTTGGCAGCTTGCTGGGAGCCAGAATATGCCAGAAAACCCAGTTTGAATCCAGCCAAGTCAAGTCAAGACAATTACAGGCACTGGCCGGCTTCAACAAAAACAGCCGAGCCATTTTCTCCGCCCTGTGAATAACGTCAAGTTCAGACACGCAGAAGAGTCAACAAAGCCAAGTGACAACGAAAAAAAAACTGGCAAGAAAAACCCCAAAACTTGAGGAACAAATTGTATTATCTTGCGAAAGAAATTTGTACATTTTGAATTTAATAATATTTCTTGTTTTTCTGTTTGTATTCGTTTTATTTGTTTTATTTTAATAGTAATCTGCAGAAGAATACTATTTGACTTGTTTTTTAGGAAATGACTGCCGAAAGAGACCTTCCCACAAACCAATTTAAAATGCAACTCGGCTAACTGCCAATCGGAGAACTAATTAAATGAATTAGCAAATTTAATAAAAGATTTCGTGGCCGGGGCAATTTCATCATTGGCGGTTAGGTGATACACTTTTTGTTGCCTACTTTTGGAATTTGCCACCTGCATGGACGCTTGGAACAAAAGTTTTTATTCGAACCCACCCTCTTCCCAGTTCAACAAACTGGTTTCTCCTTTTTTACTCTGCTAATTGCTTGTCCATTTCACGGATTGTGGGTGTATGGGAACGTAGAGAGGATAAGAGTGACTTCGAACCAGGTTGCTATGTAGGTCGCCAATTGGATTTCAGGCAATTAAAAGCGGATTAAAACTGCTGTGCGTTACGGCAAATGAAAAAGAAAACTTGGCTCTTTTTTGCATTGTTTTTAATCTGATTGTGTTTTGTCGCTGACGGCAAAACTGCCTCATAAGGTATTCTCCAGCTTTCTGGATTCAAAGTGGGATCCAGCCTCTCCTGTCTCGCTGTTACAGCATTTTAATGCGTATTAACAAGGTAATTGCAGCGGCTTTCACAGGCTTAACCAAGGCGAGATATTCGTTTACAATGGCGGTAGGAGAAATAACTGAGGATGCGATGTTGACTTCTTGTAACGGGAGGTTGGTTGTAGAGGGTTTACTGGGTGGATTATAATACACTCAAATGTTTATGAAAAGCTTCGGCAATAGAATAAATACAAACAATGAAAGCCTTTCCTGTATCGCGACATGTTTAAAGAGTTATATTCTGAATATGTTTTATATTTTATTATATTTACTGGTATTACTGAACAAACACATTAAATTTACAGAAACCTCTCTGTGTATAGATAAGATTTAAGCGTATTCTAAACTCATTAAATACCAATTTTATAAGAAATGCGACAAAATATTTAAATTTTATTATTAAATTTCTAATGATGTAATAGCATTATGCCATTTTCATCAGCTATGCCTACTTAACTTGCAAACCTCTTCACGTGGCTATGCCTCTATAACGTCTTTTATAGTAATTATTGAAAAGTTTTCCCTGCTTCCGAGTTATGTAAGCATTAAGTAAACGTCGGGCATAATGTTTATGCATTTATAATACATAATGTGGCAGAAGAACAGAACAGAACGAGGAACTTCTCCATCGGGAGCTGAGGAACATGATCCGGGGACGAAACACGCTCAAAAGTATGCAACAAAGTTATGCAAAGTGCAGGCGGCTGACGTGGGAAGACAGCTTCGCTTGCCACTTGAGAAACGCTGTGAAAATTCCCAAGCAGCGGGGGAAACAGAACAAAAAACAGTGTCACAATGCATAATGGGCTAAAAGCGAGGGGTATGCGTTTGGTCGTCGACTGTCGACATCTTGCCTGCCAACTGCAACAGGATGCAGGTTAAGTTCTTGACGCCAGCGCCACATAAAGTGGCAAAAGTTATGCATGCGCCCGTTCTAAAAAGCAGGGCGTGGCAAGTGTCAACTTGTTTGATTTAGCTCCCAAGAAGGAGCCCAAGTGCAGGAAAATGGCGCAAAATAATCAGCAGAAAACTGAAAGCGGCAATTTCTCAGGCACCAATCAGTGCCTCATTACATGCGACCTGGCTGGGCAGCAACCTTCCTCCTTCTCCGATCCCAAGTATATCAGCTTCCGCTGCCATAACATGCTGACGTGTTTCCGGCACACACACATACATATATGCACACATATATGCTGGGAACATTAGAGCAAAAACAAAGTGCGGAGAACGAAGGAACGTCGAGCGCATATATTTTCTGTGATTTATTATTTTATCCCGTCAACAGTGAAAAAACGAAAAAGTTTCTTCGAGTTGTTAGAGGAAGTTAAAAAAAGGGACGAAGTGGAAAGACTTGGGGTTCTCGGGTTGTACCACCATCTTATGACTCCCTGATAATTTTAAATAGGCTTTTAATGGTTTTTACGGTAATAAAATTAAAGGTTCAAAGTTTAAGTTCATAATTTACTGGTATTCAAAATAATGTTATTTCAATGATCCCAAACCAGTAACAACCTTTTTTTATACAGCTATGTAAAACAAATCTTATAAAAATTCTTCTGAGAAAAAAATTATTTAAGAAGGGCAAAATGTAAAGCTTTCTACCAAGAAAAATGTCTTTCAACTAAGATGCTGTTTAAAGCTTCTAGAATCAGTACTTTAAAAATTTCTTTGTTCCCTTCAGTTGGCTGCAATTAATTCTTTACTTCAAAGAATCCTTGCTTACTGTCCAGAGCTATGGTAACAAGTGAATATATCAACATTACGGCGCACTAGATGCCAGAAGCGAAGAGTCAGCGCCTTGATTTTGCGCTTGACTAATTTCAGCTTTCGCTTTTGTTGCTCTTCCTTAAGCATTTTCTTTTTGCCGCTTTTCGTTTTGTTTTTGGAAAAGTTTTGCAAGCGAACTCGTGCTACTTTGCCTGGCGTAGTTGGGCATTTTCCGTTTCCGCGTTTCCTTGTAAAATTAGTATTTGCCATCGTTGTCGCTGGAGACCCGGCTTTATCTTCGGCACCATTGGATGCAGGCCAGCAACAATTTGTTTTTCGCTCCGACAAACGCTAACTTGCCCAACACTTGATAAGCGGGAAACTTTCGCCTTTCGGTTGCCGTTTTTCAAAGTACTCGCCAAAAGTTAGACTTTAATTTAAGTTTTGTTGTTTGGCCTGAAGTAAAGGCACTGCTTCATTGCAGCATAAGTGATATAAATTCTGTGACCCCGATTTCAGGTATTAGCAAAAGTTTACAAAAGCACTTCAGACTTTCCAGAAAAACCTAAGTAATATGTACCATCTTTCGTAACTAATCTTTATTGTAATATATTTGTAAAAACTTCTATAAATCATTGCCAATGTTTCAATTTTCTTATGGTTCCTTATAAAACCATTTTTAAAGATGTATTTCTTTTATTTTTATTGTTACAAATACAATCACTACAAATTGTACCAAGTATTTTATGTGATGCAACCAAAACGGAAGTTATGGTTATCCTTACCATACATGTAAATTTAAAAAGGACTGTCATCTCCTGGAAGTGCAATTAAAATTTCGCATTTCTTCTTTAAGATCTCCTCGTCCTTAATTACCCCGTTTCAGCGTCGCCTGAATTTTCGGGGCCTCTGGGGCTGACGCAATGGCATTTAAAATATTCAAGGCATTTGACATTTTAATCAACCGTTCCCCTCGAAGGAAGCCCGACTCACCAGAGAGCCAAAGTGCATGGACGAAGGATGAGCAAATAAGAAACGCGGGAAAACTTTCGAAAATTCCTTAATGAATACAAATACGGTCGAGCGACTCTGATTTTTCTTCTCTAAACGTCGAGGCTTGGAAATATTATTTTAGTTGTACAATTATAAAAATAAACAGACTTACAAAATCGTAGAAGTTCAGTTTTAATGCCGCAGTTATTGGTTTGGCGAGTCATTTCCTAACGATTTGGTATGGGTTTATTGCTATTGCTTGGAAGTTCGCTATCACTATCACTACTTTCCGAGGAAGTTGCTGGCCTTCTCGGTTTTTTTTGACGTTTCTTAATTTCTTTTTGCTTCTTTAAAAGTTGTTCCCTTTCTCTTTTGTTATCAATTATTATGATTTGTTGTTCTATACTTTTATCTGGTCTTTGAATTCTCCCTTGGTTGACACCACAAGCTTCATCATTTGAATCATCTGAGTCCGATTCAACAACATTGTTTAATTTTTCGTTGTTTAGTTTCCTAAGAATTTCCTCCAGAGAAGCCAGGCTTATAGAATAGTCATCCAACTGGCCCTCGATCCGTTTCTGCTCCATATTGTGAAACAGGTTAGACCACGTTTTATACCTCTTATTAATGTGATATATAAGCCAACAATCAATTGATTCTCTTAAAATGAAAGCACCACTTTGGATTAGAGCAACGATGATCGCCCAGCAGATAAACTTATTTTAACTTACTGTAAGACTGCTGCGGGATAAAGTTTTGCTATATCAGCCTCCATTTTTTTCCGAGCCTTTTTTAGTCTAAAAATAAAACTAAAGTTAAGAGACAAAACACTAAATAATAGTCATATTAAAAGTCCAATTAAGATACAACAAATACTAATTATCGAATACTTAGTATATTTCTAATCTTAAATACTGATCTTGACTTACTGTATTGGGTTTGCCTTAATTTTAAGCTTCAGCACAATTGTGTCGCAGATCTCTGATCGCACCTGCTGCACAGATCCAATGCTTTCCATCTTACCGGATACCAAGACGCCGATCCTCGGGCAGATGGCGTTGACCTCCTCCATGCTGTGGGTGGCCAGCAGCACCGTCTTGCCATTGTAGCAAGCGGCCTCCAGCTTCTGGCAAATATAGTGACGTGACACGGGATCGACACCCCTGTTGGGTTCGTCGAGACAAATAATTGATCCGCCATAGACAGCGAGGGCTACGCTTAGTTTCCTTTTGGTTCCGCCGCTGTAGGTGCGTACCTTCTGGTCCAGATGTTTTTCGAAACCAAAGTCGATTGCCAACTGTTTGGAGAGCCGTGGGATATCCTTTTTCGGTATTCCCCGAAGCAGCCAGTGAATCTTGAGTGTTTGCCGGCCGGTAAGAAATCCGTGCAGAGTGTCGTACTGTGGACAATAACCGATATTCTCCTTGGCCAATACCGAAGTTGTATAGCCCCGCAGGCTGTGTCCTTGGACGTAGATGTTTCCACCAGACAATCTCGTCTCGCCTACGATCATTCGGATAATAGATGTCTTGCCAGCTCCATTGGCCCCCAGAAGGCCAAAGCACTCGCCACTGTTAATTGTCTGTATAAAGATCTTTGGATTCTAGAACGAATCTCGAAGCGAATACTTACGGGTTCATCGCAAAAGATACAAATTTAACTGCCTTGGTGGAGCAGTAGTTCTTTACAACCTGGTCTACAATTACGGGATAGTCATCTTGGTCGTACTTTGAAATTCCTCCAACTCGTATTTCCTCATCAAACACTCTGCGCCCTTTATCATCCGCCTGCCAATTTCTATTTGATTGGCTTTTTGAACACAAATGGGCAATATCCCGTCCGAAACAGGAAATCCATAGGATAATAGACCATATGATGCCATGGATCATCAGTAAATAAAACTCGTTCCATTTGTATATCTCTGTAAGACAGTTAGCTAGTTGGCTCAGGAAACCAATTTTTATGAAAAGGAAACCTTATACCTGGACACGCGCAAAATACATTGGGGTCTCCAAAATTGCACTTAAGATTGTCGATCACTGGGATTATTTCTCTTTCGCAAACTTTACCCCATGATAGACATTTGAATAGGCCAAAGGCACCAACATACATGGGGAATATCACAGGTATACCCAAAATATAACTATTACTTACGGAGCTTACGAAAAATAAAAAGCAAAATAGAATTCCACCTAGAAGACAAATAATTTATAGCGTTAAAAAATAAATATTAAATGTTTGTTTAATTTCATATAAATTAAAATCCCTGAAGGCATTTACTTACCCGTGACCAGCTGAATTGTGAAATTCATGACAAAAGCAGTAGCTGGCTTTTTGAACAACAGGCTGCATAGGTAGATAAATGGCAAGCAGGCAAAACCAATGAGTAGAAAAATTATTAGAGACTGGTACCATATTGTATCTTGATATATTGCCAAGGTAAGAGCCATCATATAAAAGGCACATATAAAATAATCCCAAATAAAGTGGGTGAACCAAAAGCAGCCTGGAGACAAACTTTGTAGGTCCTGCTGCATTTTCATTTGCTGCACACGTTCCTCCGTAACAAAGATGGCAAAACTGCTTAGGGCCAAAGCTAGATATGCAATTATTATAATGATAGCGGCGAAAATTAAATACATGCTCTCCCGCTCATTGTAAAATACTGATCGTGATTCCGAAACCGACATGTGGGGGATTATTTGAACATCAGAAGGCGTTATAGAATTATAAGAAGGATTCTTAAGGGTTTTGTTAAAGTCATTTATGCTAGGATTATCTTCTTCGCGAAATTCGTAGTCTTCATAATCCTCGTAATCCACATTATCCTGTCGCTTTGATCTATGCTTAGTTAATGTACTCTTTGCCATGTGACTTTCGTCTAAATGCCCTCTGTGTACAAAAATGTTGAAAGCGCTTCCAGTCGCAGCTTTTCCTATGGCTTCATAGACCAGATTCAGGGCAATGGGTGCCGAGTGTTCGAAGGCATTACTATTAAACCAGGCTGTTATAGTCGAGGAATCATTAAATGAGGCACCACAGACATATTTTCGACGTATATCCCGTCGCACTAAAGGTGGTGCCTTGAATAGGTGCGCAAATATTGACTTTATCTTTTCCACTTGTGCAGGCTTTTTCACAGCCTCAACATAACCTTGGCCCTCTTTTTTAAAAAACCTGTCATCGACTTCGAGTAAGATGATCATGTCATCATAACTATAGTAGTTCAACGACAACTCCATCACAGTTGGCTCCACAATGAGTTTGTTTCCCCTTTCATATTCGGAGGTCGCAAGGACTATAAAAAAGAATATGAGCGGTATGAATAGAATTAGGAGAAATAAACCAAAATGGTAGCGTGTGTAGTAGGCCTTCTTCATCATCATTGCCTGGCAGAGACCCATCACTGATGCTCTTCCTCTGAACGTGAGTTCGGGCTTTGGTCGCGATTGCTCACTTGGTTTCCTTATGAGATTCGACTTAGGTGGCTCCTTTGGTTCTGGCTCAGGTTTGGCTTGCGAACTTGTTGAACTTGCAGCTTGCCGCGCCAATTCCCTCGCCCTTCTTCTTTCTGCTCTTGCTGCTGCGCGGTCCACTAAATCAGTTTGAGTTCCGAAACTATTCTTGTCTAAAAACAAGAGGTAAAACAGTGTTAAAAGTTGGTCAAGACAGTATTTAAATATAAAGCCTATTCCTGTTCCTACTACGAATTGAAAATATAAAGCTATCAAAACACTCTTGTTTTGCGGAAAAGTTGGGTTTTCTCATTCTAAAAGTGTTTAAAAAGTTATGATTTTGTATTTGCAAAAATTACTTACGTATGGTGAGAAAGCTGTAGATTAAGAACCCTAAATTTAACTGGTTAAAAAATTCATAAATCATACCTTCATCAGCACCGCCCCTTGGACGGGGCTCATGTTCCGGATCTAGACTCAGGATGATCTCCTCCAGACTGGCGTCGGAGAAGTCAAAGCTGACCACGTCGAGGATCTTTTTATTGATTTCCAGGAGATGGAACAATACCGAGAATTTGCCGATCATGTTTCGTGGCAGTTTGAAGGTTACATCCGGTCCCCGGATCACCGGCTCAGAAGCGGACGCAACATGCGTCACCAAATCCGTCAATTTGTCCAATTTGCAATTGAGGCCCATCTCGACGTAGAGCGTGAAACTGGCGTTGTGAATCTGCTTAAGGAATCCCAGAGTTCCGAAGGAGCGGAGCTCTCCGTTGCTCATGATGGCAATCCGGTCGCCCAGGATCTCGGCCTCCTCCATAAGATGGGTGGTCATCAGGACCGCGCGTCCCTGCTTCTCCTTCTGCAGAAGCCGCCACAGATCGTGGCGCCCCCTTGGATCCAATCCCGAGGATGGCTCATCGCAGAAGATCACCTTTGAACCGCCGCAAAGAGCACAGGCCAGCGACAATCGCCTCTGATTGCCACTCGAGAGTTTCAGGGCGTCCACTCTACTAAACGCGGCCAAGTTAAGCTTGCGGATGTACATTTCCGTCTCCATTCGTGCATCGTGAGTAGCATATCCCTTTAAGCGACTGAAGAAGTAGATGTGATCGTACACGGTGAGTCCCTTGAAAAGAACACTGTGCTGCGCACAGATGCCCAAGCTGGCCTTCGCGAACTTGCGTTCCTTCACGATATCATAGCCATTGATTACAGCTGTTCCGGAAGTGGGCGACAACATGCCACAGAGCATCAGTATGGTGGTGGTCTTCCCGCAGGCATTGTGTCCCAACAGGGCTGTGATCTCGTTTTCGTACATATTAAAAGTCAAGTCCTTAACTACCACGCGATTTTTAAACTGCTTATTCAAATTTCTTACTTCGACGATCGGTATTTTTCCTATCGGTACTTTTTCCGTGGTTAGTGACCGATATCGGTCGTCAGAAGTGGCAAAATATCCGCTTCTAGCAGACGGTTTTGAAATAGGCAGCAGCGGATCCTTCTTTAAACCAAACCGCCGGGAAAACCAGTATCTCCTCTGGAATGGATAATACCACGGCTGGGGAACCCCAAACCCGCCGTGTCGCACCTCCTCGATGTACAAACAGACCAGCAGTTCGACGCAGCTGGTCACAAGCATGATGGTCATGTGGGCCACGATGCTTAGCTTGTGGCCACGCGATGCGGTTTTGGCCATGGTGTACCACTGGATGCCCACCGACTGCTTCTCCATTTTGGCCACCGACTGCAGAATGTAGAACAGGGCTGAGTTCAGTCCGAAACAAGCTGCCGTTTGGGATGCCAAGCTCGAGTGACGATCACCCACAATCACATAGGGAAGAGCCGTGGCTACGTAGAGCAAAAGTGCCAGCACAGCGGCCCAGTAACTTCTTGAGAAAAATGCGCTTACGAAGAAGGCGAATAATACCAGTGAATGACAGTACGCTAGAAGTACGATAAAAAGGCAAACATGGTTGCTGAATTCATAAATTGATCCTATCGCAAAAATGGTTAAAATAAGTAACACGCATAGGATGAGAAGTATCATTGATTTCGTATACCAGGCCAACCAATGGATACTGTTCCTGAATCCCATTGTGTTCAAAACCGCCTTTTGCTGATACTCCCTTTCGGCAACTATATACTTTAAGAAATCAGCGAAAACAAGGCGAATAAGATTAAAAATTTGCATGGGAAACTTTAGATCTTACCTTGACGATCGTTATGCAGGGAAGGAAAAATGATATAAGGATTGTGTATGTCACAGCGATTGCTGAGTTCGCATAGTAATTCGGCACATATCTGGGGTAAGGAAAATGGTTCATCCGCACCTTTGCAATATTTTTTCTGTGCCGCCCTCTGGAACTCTTGAATTGAATGAATAATCGAGAAAGCCGTTCTTGAATCATTAAGAATCCAGATTCAAAGTACCCAGAATGCCTCTTCTTTAAATTTAACGGCATGTATAAAGTAAAATTAAGGTAGTCCGGATAGGTTTGTATTGTAGCCCATTCATGGGGGAACGCAATCCCGGCTGCTTCTTTGTTTTCAATCATTTTCAGGTGAAGCTCTCTAGTAGTGTCAAAACCCTCGTAACCAAAACATTCAGAGCTGTTAGACAGTTCGAAAACAAGTTTCTCTACTAACCCATTGTAAGGTGAATAATACAAGTCGCGAAATCTGAGATCAAAATATTAAAATCTAAAAACACTGCATGTCTAATCATTTGTCACTTACACACACGTATCAAGAATTTTCGGGCCGGGTGCCTTTTCAACTTCTACTTCGTAACGAAACAGTGATTTTGAAACTTTTCTGCCAATGGTAATCAGCACGGGCATAAGAGCAGCAAGTATAAATATGGCTACCAATTCCGCGACGCTTGCAAACTGCAATTTCATGTCCTTCCATAGCAGCAACTGATACTTTTGACGAAATGACAAGTGGGGTCTCATCATTGAAAGGGTGTTCCTGTTTCTACCGCCGCATCCACGGCCGCGTGTACTGCATTAAGTGTTTGATTCCAAAAATTTATATATAATGTGTCATTTGGTTACGTATTTTAAGTTACTACGTATGTAGGTATGTTCCTACAAGATGAAAGCTCTTGCAAATTGTTCTAGATTTGACTGAAACCAGAAGGTTTCAGTTGAAGCAAGATAAGTAAGAAAATAAGTAAGAAAATTGTCTAAATGATTTTTAGTTGCGATCTAATTTTATATTTTTTAAGGTCAAGCACAAAGAGCATTTTCAATAAATTATTATTATCATGTATGGAGTCCATAATATTTAATAAATGTGAAACTGCTTAAGGATAATAAGATATGTATAGCATACTTGTTTGCGCTGTTCGCTTAAATTTATTTCCTGTTGCAGAAACATTTTCTGGCGATCTAACTGCAGGAAACACACAGTCTCTCCCGCAAAGGGAGTCACATAAATTGCGGAATTTTGTGGGTGGCAACATAACTAACGGTAATTAGCTACTTTATGCCATGGACACACATTGCCACACACCCACAATCGTTTGTCAAAGCCCGAGGCCGAGTTTATGTTGGAAAATTCCGTGGCTCATGTTCGTTTTGTGGTCAATTGGGAATTGCAATTAACGCATAGTTTCATTTTTATTGCCATTCGGGTAACAGCAGTCAACTGCGTTTACCCAACGTTATTACGAAATCCACTCACTTATTTGCCCATGAAAACGAATGAATAAATTGTCCTGGGAACATAAGGATCTTTTATGTGTTTCTGCCTTGAGTTTATTGTTGGTCTTCGTTTTTATTAGTTCCCACTCAACTGAAACCAAAATGTTTGAATTGTTTTCTTGTTTAACTAATTATATGTGAAGAATACTAACAATTTATTCAATACTAAATGGGTTTTTTTATGAAAACAAATGATTAAAACTGGTTGGTACAGCTGATAAAGTTATAGTAATAGTATTTGAATATGCAATCAGAATTCAACCTAAAACTAAGCTGCCTAAAATAGTGTTTAATTTTTCTTATATAAACTCTTTTTAATGGCAATTTCAAGTGAAACACATTTAGTGCAACACTTGGAACCCATTTTGTTAATTCCCACCTCAATTCAATTAATTTGAAATCTAAATAAAAGTACCTCCAGTATTAGTCGGGTAGTTTTATTTTCTTTAATGAGCATTAAATGTGGTGTGGAAGTGGCGCTGCTGGTAAAATGTCTGCTTAACCTACACACTTAGCCATAAAATGAGAAAAAATTCGTTCTGGTTTGTAATTAAAACAAAATATTTTACTTTCCTGAATTTAATTAGAACTAAATACTATAATAATCCACAAACTGGACATTAACCCAATTGTTTTATATTTCTTGGTTTCATTAGCAGTTTGCAGTTTTCTTTTTGGAAAATTTAAATAGTAGAACTGGAAATTGTCTTTTATGTTGGATCGAGACAATATAGTTTATACGAAATAACTCTTTGATAACTGGTTGGTTCATTGCACGTAAGGAGTGAGACATATGAATTATGTAAAAAAGCAAGCAAGGAGTAAATTTGTAAAATATATATGTATTTTTAGCAGTACTGCACACAAAATTAAGGGAATATTTTATCCCTTATGTTCGTTTGCATGTTTAGCGTAGATTCTAAGAAATGCGAAAAAAATCGTTTGCATTTTAATAGCATCGTTTGCGTTTTTTCCATTGCCTCAGAAATAATTTTTCCATTTGCATTTAAATTCTATGCAGACTTATGATCTTGGCAGCTTTTTGAAATTCTCGTATACAAATTTATTAGCACACATACCGTAAGTGAAAAGAAGCAGCAATTTTGATAAGCTGGGATTCACTGGAAATTCGATTTGCAGAGGAATTCACTATTATGATTGACTGTAATTTCCTTAGCTCTGCCCGGGCTCCTTTGCATTTTAATTCAATATGTCAAAACGAGTCGTTAACAACAGCATGCGGTCGTCAGCGCTCCAGCAGTCAACAGCTGCCAGTCAATGTCAGAGTAGGCGCGTTGTGGTTTCTTCAAAATAGGTGGTAGACCAGTCCTTCGAGCTCCACCCGCTCCTTGGCGACAGGACTGTGTGTGGTCGTCGTCGGTGCCAGCCAGTTAGTCAGTCAGTTAGCCAGGCAGTCAGTCAATCAAACTGCTGCTGTCTGTTGTCTACTCATCTAGCCATTTAGTTAGTTAGTTGGACGCTTCGCAAAACGCGACTTCAGACATGGCCTGCAGCTCACAGACGGAGTGTGTCTGCCACTCATAGTGTCTGTCCTTTGAGCTGAAGCTAGAGTTTCTAACTAATTCAAAAGCTTCTGCTAAATTCTCAGTGGACATACATTATTTAAATGAAATAAGGAATGTATAGAGCAATACCTTACTCCTTGCATTGTTTATGAACACATATATATTTTGCGTGATTGTGAACAGAAGTGCTCTCAATAAATGCATATAAATTAAACTTACAGCTTTTAAAATGTAAACTAACATACACAAAAACCATTAAACGTTTCTTAATAAGCTAATTAAGGAACCATTAACGGTAGTTTGAAAATTAAATGGCTAAGATTGCTTCACAGAAAAAACAAACCAATTTCGTTTGTTGTTTTTGGCTGTAATCTTAGGTCTACGTTGGCCTTTTGCGGTCATCATTATGTAAAGTCTCTGAGATTTGCGGTTTTTATACAAAAAGTATATTTTTATATACTGCTGTATTATAATAAATCTCATAACAAGCATAAAATTCCAAACTTAAGCCCCTAATCAACATTACCAAAAAAATAGTTTTGCTATAAATCATTTATTTATAATTGAATAAGACTTTTTACTGAAAGAATTCCTCACTTATATTTCCGACGCAAGCCATATTTTTTTGCCAGTTTATTTACGCATTTCCAGTTTTAGTTCCTTCTTATCAACCATTCCATTGCTCAGTGTGCGTATGCTTAATGTTAGCATTGTATTGTTTATATATCAATTGAAGCGGCTAATTTATCTTGTTCTATTTTGCGATGTGCACCATCTCTTCTCTTCAATGCCCCCTGCTAGCTTTTGGAATAAAAATTTCAAGCAATTTCGGTGCGGTGGAAGAACAATTTATCACATTGACGCTGATGAATTGTTCGCTTTACACTATGACAACTTCATCGTTGACTCTGTTTGGTGATGGTGTCTTCCCCTATCCCCGAAACCCCGCTCCTTCATAGTTACTACTTTCAGCTCTTGTTTCTGGGTTGTTTCTGTTGAATTGCTTGTAAAATGTTTTGTAACTGTCACGGCTTGCGTCCTTAAACTCCTCCCGTTTCAGCTGATGCTTTTGTGCTTTCCTGTAATAATTTTAAATCGTATATCTTGATGCGTATTCTAATCAATAGCAGTTGTAGTTGCTTATCTATAAACTTATTTACTCTTTTTCGATTGGAAATAAATACTTTATTTTCTAAAAAACCTTTTTCACGGAAAATCTGTTGGTTTAAAAGTCACCACCGAATGCCCAACAATACTTTCCCAGTGGGTCGAGAATCACTTTAAGATGATTTGGCTTTATGAATAATTCAGCGCAAAATAACCACCCTTTTCTCCCCTCGTAGAGGATGCGAGTGAAAAATCACAATCTTCCAAACTTCAATCAGGCGCACATTTTTATTGTCGGGCATATGCTTCCCTGCAGCTGTTCCTCTTCCTTCCTCTCGACACACATACATACGTGTGTACTTTATAGTGGAGCTCCTGATGATGTACTGAAGCTGGTTGTTTTTGGCGTTGTAACTGCTGCCGTTATAACTGTCACTTGTCCTCGATACACTTGTCTGCCTGTCTGCTTGTCTGCCACGATGCTGCTCTGCTCTGCTCCCGGTGCTGATGTCACTTTTGCAAAGTCCTTCGGCTCCCCTCGGTTCCTGCGGCCGTTAAAGGCTTAAATTTATGCGCGGGAAACCAAAAACTGTAGACGAAAAATTGATTTTTTATGGTTATGAATTATTACCAGCTATTATCTGGCAGAGCTGTAGGAATAAAGGAGCTTTTCTTTTTTGCACGATAAAAGTACTAGGATAGAACACACATTTCCTTAGTAAAATGCATGATTGAGCCATTAATATGAAGCACTCTTCAAACTCTCAGCGGAAAACTTACACGGGATTGTGTTAAAAAGTTTCCAAACACAATAAATAAACACACAAACAATCCCAAAGAGCCAGAGGATGCGTTGCCGAGAGTCATTGAGGAATTGCATTATTCGCTGTTGTGTATTTGAATTGAAATATTTTTGCTGAACAGCGCAATATTGGCTAAGAATGGATATTGTGCACTCGTCGGTGAACAAATAACTTTATGTGTGCATATGCAATGCGATTATAGTGCCATTATATGGAGCTAAGCTCATGGGTATTTCATAGAGTGCTTCAAATTGGATTTATTTGAAAAAGCTAACTGAAATTCGATGCCGGTTCGTAGAACAATTGAAGTGCACAAATTGCTAGTTTGACCATGTTTATTTGCCATTGCAATTTGAGCTTCTCCACTTTGTCCTCTTTGGCTGGGACTTATTTAATATCCCATTGATGTCAATACATTTTTGCGAAGAAACACTTGAGCTGCTCCACTTAAAATTCCTTAACTTTGTGCGGTCCTCAAGCCATTTGGCCGAATGGCTTTTTGAAATGAAGCCAACTACTTGTCACACCCACTAGAGACCTTACGAGCCCAAACGAAAAGGAGGCCAAAGGAGACACTTCTCTTGGCTTGACACACTCCTCCGACCACTTCAAGGCTTCAATTGTTTGCCCACCAAGGTTCTTTGACATGTGGGGAACAAAAGCATTATCTAAAGATAGTCTCGGCAGAGTCGCCGACCCACCAAGTCAAGATATCTACACGGGGAAACATGAGATGTAAAATATCTATGTACTCTAAATGTAAAACTATTAAAATGAAGAATGCAAGCAGTAATGCAAATTAGTAATATCTTATTCCTAATAAAATGCGAGTTTAGTTGCAAGAGATCCTTGTTTTTAGATTGGGTTGAATATTTATGTAGTTACTTTTGAAGTTATTGGATAAGTTGGCTAATCTTTTTTGCTTCCATTTGTTTAATTGAAAAGTGTATTCCTTTGTACGTGTTTAGAATGTCTAGTTTCTTTGCGTGCATTTTCCCTTTAGCCATTTTTGTTTGAGAGACCATGAACAGTTTGATAGGATCATACTTTTTCTGGCGAAGCCTATTGCTCATCTCCTCTGCACTTTGCGCTCGGTTGAAGTTGCCTTCCTTATGGAGAGCTCCACTCACTTCCTGCAACTCCAAGTGCAGCAATGGCGTCGGCAAATGCAGCT